CATTGGTAATTCGAGAGATGCAGATGAAAATATCACTGAGATTCTACCTCACCCCAAAAAGAATGGCTGCTATCAAGAAATTAACCAATAACAAGTGCTGGCAGGGGTGTGGGGAGAAAGGTACCCTTCTTTATTGTTGGTGTGGGAGTGCAGATTGGTGCAACCACTGTGAGAATCAATATGGAGATACCTTAAACAACTAGCATTGGAAGTCCCATAAGACCCAGCTATTCCCCTGCTGGATATCTTCCAAAAAGAATTAAAAGAATCATACCGCAGTGATATATGCTCACCCATCTTATAGCAGAACAGTTTGTAATAGCTAAAACTTGGAAATAGCCCAATTGCCCATCAACTGGAGACTAGATAAAGATCCTATCTATCTATCTATCTATCTATCTATCTATCTATCTATCTATCTATCTGGAGTATGCTCAGCCATAAAGAATGAGAAACTAGAGAAATTTGTAGCTAAGTGTATGCACATTGAGGACATACTCTTTTTTTTTTTTTGGTACCGGGGATCAAACTCGGGTCCTTGCGCTTGTGAGGCAGGCCACCGAACCGCTGAGCTAAATCCCCGGCCCAAGGACATACTCTTAAGTGAAATTAATAGGATACACATCTGTAAATACCATGTAGTTTCTCTAGTGTGATAAACTATGAGGCTAAATAAGGATCAAAATATATAATTGATATTTAGTAAAAGAAAGGAAAGGTCTAAAGTTATTGGGCAAATGTAAGGTGTAGAAGAAATGTAAAAAGGGAACAGGAAAAACAAGAGAAAAGGAAGAAACTGGAAACCAAGTATTTGTAAGTAGTGAAAGGTGGAGGCTGGAAGGGAGGCTAGGGGAATGAGGAAAAAATAAGATATACCCTGTAAAGGTACAAGATATCAATGATGAATGTAACTGCATTGTATATCTAAAATGTACCAATAAAGATTCAGTTTATAAAAAAAGAGAGTAGTAGTTTCATTAATTTCAGAAATAGGACTCTTCAAAGGAAGCAAAAGACCCCTGAATGAAAGTTATCAAGAAGAGAGGCACATATTTCATGATATAAGTAGGTCAAATTTTTTAAAGACAAGGTAATTCTTGATAGTTAAATAAATATCAAAATAAATATCAAAATATTGAGGCAAAACTTGGAAAACTGAAAGGAGAAATTTGTGAGTCTTTTACTGGTAGAAACGCAAAATTATCAATTTGAAAGATAGTTTGACAGTTTCTTAAAAATTAAACACATTTTTGTACTCACCGATCCAGCAATCAAGCATTTTAGTATTCACTTAAAGAGTTGAAATCTTATGTATATAGAAAAAATCTAAATATAGATATTTACAGAAGTTTTATTCATAAGCACCCAACCTGGGAAGTAACCAAGCTATTCTTCAATAGTTTAATGGCTAACTACACTCTAGTACACCTGGAAATGGAATATTAAAAATTTCAATACTGAACAGAATGAGCTATCAAACCATAAAAATATATGAAAAAATTAAAATGCATGTTACTAAGTTAATTCAGTCGATTTTTAATAGCTATGTACTGTATCATACAGCCCATGAGGTCCTTAAAAATGAAAAACTATAGAAATGGTAAAAAAACAAAACAAAACAAACAAACAAACAAACAAAAAACGGGTGTTTGCCAATGGCCGGAAGAGTTGAATTGGTAAAGCAAGAGTTTCTTTATGCTAGTGAAACTAGCCTGTATTTTACCTTAAAGTTAACTGTTACGTTGTGCATACTGTTATTTAATGCTAGTGTGAACTGTGAGGCCAGAGGACAGTGGTGAGTCAGTGTGGGATCCTTTGTTGCTACAATGTGTCATCTCCGATAGGGATGTCGAAGGGGAGTTGCACAGCTTATATAAGAAATCTATGAATCTTTTACCAATATGTGCTGTGACCCTAAAAGAACCCTAAAATTAATCACATTTTAAAAAGAAGAAAGCAGGTAAAAGGCCATTTTTCAAAGAGACAGCCTTAAAGGAAATAACAAAACCACATTGAAAAGATGAAAATAGAAACACAATATATCAGAATTTGAGGGATGCAGCTTATGATCTAAGAGGAAAATTATAGCACTAAATCCTAACAGAAAGAAGTTCCAAATTCGTAATCTAGAATCCTACTTCACATCAGATAAAAGCAATATAAAACCAAAACTACCAAAAGAAAAAAGAAGTTAAGTATAAAAGAAGAAATCACTAAATCAATTGAAGAGGGCAAAACTGAAAATCAATGAAAAAATAATTTTGCTTCTTTGAAAATTATCCAGCACAATTAACAAAGATAAATAGAATGGAATTAATATGAGAAAAAGAAAAAATGGAATCAAAGATTTTGTAGATAGAGAGGAATGAAGGGATTAAAGGGAGGGCAGGAGGATAGGTTTAGAATAAGAACCAAAATAGATTATGTAAAGGTACAGATTCCAGTGATGAATGACATTATATTGTATACCTTAAATATACTAATAAAATTTATTGTAAAAATAAACAATATAAATAGAAAGCATGCAAAAAAACAAGAATTAACAACAATTCACCAAAGACCAATTTGGACTAGGAGACATGCCCATAAAAATTTGTTTTTTATTGCTAGGTATTGGAAAATGAAATTAAAATCTATGATGTGAAAATCTACATAAAAGGAGAGTGAAAACATGCAATAATGGTAGGGAAGTAGAGAAAGTACATCTCTCATACATAGATGGTTGGAATATATAATGTTACAGATTTCGGGAATATAATTTGGGTAACTTATTTAAAACCAAATACTACCCAGCAAGTTGAATTTGTGCACATTTTCCTCAAGAAAATAAATCTTATGTGCACAAAATAACTTGATGCTGTTATCCTTGCTTTGCTCTTCTAATTCAGTGTCATTTTACTACTCATTTAGCTTACTACTAACAAGCTACACTTAAGGCTACCAAACAGCAAATGTTTTAATTTAATTCTTACGCAATTACTATGCTGCCAGCAGAGATGATAACCAGTTATGGATGTAAAAATGGCTAAACAATTCCATAGGCCTGGCCATCACTCTAGCTAGTCAGTGCCTTTTCTTGTTAAATGCTTCCAATTTGTAATTTGGTATTTTTTAGTGGCACCTATGTAACTTCTAATTTCTCTTATTTCATATTCAAAGATGCTGCATTTAAAGATATTCTTTAATGTATCAAATGGCATAAACCTATAAATAGTTCAAATTTGAGAATCACACTCAACCAAATACTATCTTCTTAAAATCTTCCACTGAATTAATGAAATAAATAATATATGAAAGACAAATTGCAAACATAAGTAATATTCAATATGAAGGGAATATAATTAGCTATAGAGTTGCATATACAATGTTACTAAATGAAAGAAAACTAAATACTAAAGTTAGTAGTTATTTGATTAAACTTAAAGTTTTTGCTTCAGTGCTAAGGGATTATTAGTTCATTAAAAAGTGTTATAAGAGTAATAAATAAAAATCAAACACTATACTACTACCAGCAACGTAAGTTTCCCTACTAGCAAGAGGAACACAGAACTTATACTAATACGATTTTGCCAGTATTAAAGCTTTATGCTGTTTTGAAATGCTGAAAATTCTATCAAGAGCTAAAGTAAATATTTTTGTACAATAGTAAGGCATTTCTTGATAGTAACAGCAAGAATCAATTTAAATAGCAGTATTCCTAGCTGGCACAAAGTAATGTATCTATTAATGGCAGGTAGTGGTGGGGGTGAGAGGTAGACAGAAGAAAGCTGCATATAGGAGTTGGTATACAGGGAAGAGGGCATCTTAGGAGTGAGAACTTGAAAATTATGAAACAAGTTCAATAAAGTAAGTTGACTAAATTATCAAGGCATCTGTCTGAACTTGTAGGATACAAATACAAGGCAAGGCTATGGTAACACTAGTAATTTAGAGAGATGCAGTGGAAGCAGCATAAGGGTAATAAATCAACAGTTCCTAATTTATACAACCTACCATCTAGGAAGAGGAAGTAAAGACAAGTGAAAAGACAAAGATAAAACAATAATGCGTGTCCCCAGAGCAATTTGGACAAAAGCTAAGGAGGAATGCGAATGTCATAGAAGGGATCACGTTGTTCACAGGAGTGGGTCTGACCTGAATGCAGAGTGGTGCGACAAGAGAGTACGGATGTCACATAGGGCCAGGCCCTAGAAGAGTGTGAATGTCAGATGAAGTCTTTCACCTTGAATTCAGTAAGTAAAGATTATAACAGAATTAAGAAAATTTCGACTCATCATTGAAAGATATATTGGGTTTTCTGTCTATATAATTAACTTTAAATTTTACTATTTACTATGTGTTTTTTCTTTCACATTGGGATATTTATATAACTTATTCTTATCCAAACATTGTTATAATGAATTATATACTAGAATAATGAAAAGCATTTAGATTTTGATTATCTACAAGTATATGTTCTCATCAAAATAAAAATAGTGAATCTTTCTGATGAGTCGAAATGAGCATAGTTAATATATTACAAAATACTGAAAATAAAAATCTCTTTCATTTGTCTTTTTGACACATGATTACATGCAGAAACATGATTGTAAAATAGTTTTGTGTAAGAATATGTGTTAACTATTTAAGAAAAGAATAAATAATGACAAAATAGAGTCAATTTTGCTCATATTATATTAAAAGATCTAGAATGTAAAACCACTTAGTAATCCATTTAGCTTCTAGGATGCTATTTTAATTGTGAAACAAATGCAATTCATGAAGAATTAAAAAACTAAAATTGTTTTATATAATAGTTGTGTGCAATTTAAATGATGCCTTTCAGTGAAAATTTATCATTAAAATCTTAAAGTGAATTTATTCTTTTGGCAATGAGAGATATTTCAATGTAAACAGACAATGTGTTCTTCCTTTGTTGGTTTTGCTATATCTTCTGCCTTTGCTTCTTAATTGCATTAATGTATCAGAGTTGTGTTATGTAATGAATTTCTTGTGTTTACCTTTGCTTCAATCTGTTTAGTGTCTGGATTCTGAAACAAAAACTTGATTTTGCTCTTGCCATCATCTGAAGAACCTTTAAGCTGAGAAAATTTATACCTCCAAAGTACAGCCTAAAAGGAGAAAGAAACATATATAAGTCAATATAATTAATGTCTCTATTTAAGCCAAGAATTAGTTTCCTTTGAAAAGGTGAAAGTTAGTTATATAAATGTAGTACTATGTCTCAGTATTAGAATGTACATAAAACACATTTATTAAAGGCTGCATTTTAATATTTAATATAGTCTTTAATTTCCAGAAATAATTTTATATCCATTAAACTTTTATTGCAAAATATAAATAAATAAATAAATA